TCAAACATAGCTTTTATCATTTTCAACTTATTTTTTTTTTGTTAAATTTTATATTTGTATTTATGATTTTTAGGTATCTTCATACCAAATCAACAAGATTTCATCAAATTCACGATATCTAGCAGAAGCAAGTCGTTTCAACGATATTCAATATTTAGATCTAGAATTTGAATCTTGTGACAAACAGTATACAGTAGGTAATAGAACAAATGCAAAAGCAACTACCAAGAAAAAACCATGTAATGTAGGCAGTCAATTTACTTTGGTAATGCATGACTATTCTATGATTGATGGTGCTTACCCATACAAAACAGTAGATTTTTTGAAAACTGCTGCTTTGTCAATGACTAGAAAACGTGCTGAGCAAGAACGGCGATTTGGTAGACAAAACATGGTAAATTAAATGTTTTTAGGGTGCTTAATTATGATCACAAAATGCTTAACTTGTCACATATTTCAAAGAGTGACTAATGGCTCTTGACTTTACATATCTTAGATCAATTAAAGCTGTAATTTGTAGTTCTTATAATACTCAGTGCTTTCATGTTGAAACTTTACGAAATTATATTCATACATAAATGTTATCCATGTGTTAAATTATTTTCTAAAATTTATGAATAATCCATAAATATTTATTAAAAGCCAATATTATTTCTATTTTTTCTAACATTTAAAAAGTTTGGACTTAGTTCATATTAAAATAATTCTAAAGTGCATATCATCATTAATTATCAACTATATATTTAATCTAAGAACAAAAATCTAATTTACACAAGGCATATAGCTAAACAGAACAATCAAGAAAAAAATAAAGTTTCTCTATTCTCATTAAATTATTATCTTATACTTAAACTTTAGAGTATCTTAAAAGAGAAATATTTGTTAAATATTGTTAATTGATTAACATTTAAATTATAATTACATTTTTTATACAACTGGGTATTTTTTATTAAATAATAAAATAAATTAATAGGTCTTGAAAGTATGTATGTACATTTATCATGTTATAAAAGTTAAAAATATTCAGTACATTTTGAATAAACATATCTCTATTAACTGGTTCATTTACATATTTGTGATAAACAAAAATATTAGATACTACATAAACATCAACAAAATAAATAATTTGTTAAGAGTTTGCCATTTTATATAGGCCTAGGCTTATAATTCAGATTTTGTTTAAATATTTATTTTTATATAAATTCTAAAAGTAAAACTACATATTTGATATTTGTATGTGACTTAAGAATCTTGACTTAATACTTAATTTTCTAACTCAACTGACATAAAACCTTGATTTCTCAAAGCAGTGTGTATATATCTAAACTAACAACCACTTTAAATTTTTTCAAATTTTTATCGAAGACTTAATGTATACATTTTTATAAATTGATGTGATMAAAACTTTAAGTAATGTTGGTGATTTCCTTCTTGTTTATTTAAAACATAATTTATTCTTATTAAAATTGTTTATTCCCTAACTATTAAGTCAGTTTTCCAGTATACATTTTTTTTCATAATATTAAACCAAAACTATTTTGTAAAATGTTTATACAAATTTGTTATGATTTTTAGGTGAATTTATGTTTTTTCATTGAATTTTAATGTATGTGTATAATACATTTATTATACATTTGTTTATGATTTATTATATAATTATTAATATTTTGGCTTATGTGACCTCCAATTGAATTACTCTTGTAATCTTGTTATCCATTTTTAATATAAGACAATCTCATTACAAATATTTATGCATTATTTTAATTATGTTTACTTATAACATAGTCAAATTATAATTATTATTTTATTTATTATATTTATACACAATTTGAAATGTTTTATTACCTAATATGTTCATTATTTTTATAACATTTATATAATACTATTAAAAAACAATACCTTAATGAGATTAGGCTAAATTAAATAGCCTAAGTTATTTTCTGATATATTTAGACTGTTAAAACTATATATTTTTTAAAGTTTATACGTATTATTATTTTTATTAAAATTACCAAAAAAAAAAAATATATATATATTGAAATTAAATTTTATTTTATATTGCCAATATTGTTTTATTTCTTTGTCTACTCCTTGTATAGTCATATTCCTATATTATTTTGTTTTATTATTGTTAGTTACAGGGCGATCCATTTAAGTAGGTACACTAATTATCTCGAAAAGTATTGAATTTTTTTTTAACTTTTACGTTTATGMTTTTCTAAAACCGTRTAATATTTTAATTTTTCTCGCTTTTATATTTATTGGTGAAACTACTACCTATCAAATTTTGATTTTCAAATGGTAACATGTAATTAAAATATCATGAATTATTAAAACTATTTTTTTCGTGAATTTACGCGTTATAATTTTTATTTTTCGTTGATTAGTTTACGAGGTATAACTACTTAAAGTATTGGTGATTTTTACTATTTTTCCAATAAACGTGAAGACCAGGAGTTGGTGATAAATTTGATATCGTTGAATCTAAAGTAACAAAATAAATTTAATTAGTCCAATTAGTCGATAAGTTAATAAATGATCAGGATTCAAAGTACAATAATAATCTTTAATTAACTGTTATTTACTTTGTTACCTTGAATTCAGCGATTTTGAATTTATCACTAGCTCTTAGTCTAAACGATTATTTGAAAAATAATAAAAACCACCAATACTTTGAGGAGCTGTATCTCACAAACCAATTAACGAATAGTAAAAATTTCAAGACGTAAATTCATGAAAAAAAAATGGTTTTATTATATTACCATTTGAAAATCAAAAGTTGAGAGTGGTTTCGCCAATAACTATAAGGGTGAAAACCTAAAAGATAAAAATAAAAAATAAAAAAAAGGAATACTTTTCGTGATAATTAGTGTACAGACTTAAATGGATCACCTTGTCCTTGTGTAAATATTATAACATGTTTATAAAATATTTAAAAGGATGTACCATTTGTTTGTAGTTTTGTATACACTTTTTGGTAAGAATATTGGCTATGCTTAAGTGTTGGCTTCTATTTAATATTTTAATCTTTTATTGYGTCTATCATCACCTTTTGGGGCAGTAAAAATTCTTCGATTTTTTACTTCGGCCKCTTTTCTGATGGCAAAGTGAATCTAATTGGTACTTTGGAGAATAAGGTATATTAAGTATTATCTTAATAAGATCGTAATCAGTAAATAGCATTGTAAGAAGTTACCACCTACCAAAAGTAAAAATGTCCAATAGTTTTTTAAAGTGTCGGACAACAAAAAAAAAATAAAAGGAAAAGCTTTGATTCATACTCATAACCAATTTTCGACAAATCAATTTTGAAGATTAGCTAAAATAATAATTGTAGTTGCATGAAATTTTAACCGAATGTTTATATTAGCATTATTTTTACGACATTAAATTTTCAAAATATTTTGACTCTTTTGGATCTTTTTATAAACATAAGAAATGTTTGATTTATTTAAGTAAGTTGTTACAAATGTTACAATAGCAGTTGAAAAATATTCAGGATGCGTGATATGCATGATCTTTTTTTATAAACATTTAAAGTTCATATTTTGACGAAGTTCATCAAAATCTTGGAAATTGAAATAGTATACCTAAAGATAGAAAATGTATTAAAATATTTCTCATAAGAAGTCTAAAATGTAACCAAAAAATCTAATAATATAATATAAAAACAATTTTATAGATATTTTAAGTTCAAACTTATACGAAATAGATAGGTACCTATTTAGGTAAACTAAAAATTATGAATTGTAACTTCTTTTTAYGATCTTAAAATATTTTTCGAGCAGTCTTGACATTTTTAAAGTATATTATTATATTGAATACATACAATGAAATTTCAAATGGAATTTTATTGGAAAATAATGTAATATTCAACCTACCTAACTAGCTATTACTAATTACTTTTGTTCCTCGTGGCATCACTACAAGGGGACCGGACTTTTTGTAYATTGGTATACTGCTTCATGCTTAGCCTTAATCAAAATGATTAATAGTAAAATAAATGACTTTATTAGCAAATATTATCATAAAATATACTTAACAATATCGCAGAATAATATGGTAATATGGGCCAACAGACCGTCTACGCACGCTCAGAATCGTTTTTCGTTCAATGATTTTGGATCATTGAATTCAAATTTAACACACTTGTTACAGCGACATATTTAGACACCTACTGTACAGAAATTAATAGCAACTTCTCTTCTTTAAACTACTGGATTATAATATTAGCTTAAAAAAAGATTAGTTCAACATTTGATTGAAGTTCATATG